GTAAAATATATGATAAGTTACGAATTTAAAGAAATAATACTGCATGGTTTCTTTTCTTGTAGTACCACTGTTGAATAGAGGCTCGAAAAAACTCCATTAACATAGTAATGGGTAATTTCCGGGAATGACGACTTAGAGCGTTGATTGATTCTGCACTATTAGACGTCATGAAACCATATCTTGCTCCAAGTTGATGTACTCTTGACCATCTTTCAAACCTGACATCTTCTAGTGTTTGATCACACTGAGGCAAAACACGTCTTAAACAGTTTATATGCTTATTAAAATCCACTTCCTGATAAGCTTTTACAGCCTTCCAGTATGTCCATTTGTGATTTTTTATACCAGTAGACCTTGATTTTAGATTTCTATACAAATGAACACTACAAAGTCCATGAAAAGCATCTGGGAAACACCTTCTAACAGCGTTGTCAATTGAGTTTGCCCTATCGGATATGATTGTCAGATTGCTAATAGGACCTATGCAATCCCTAAGATGCCCCATAAACCATGTCCATGAATCAGAGGTTTTAGATTTGCCAACCCCGTAAGCTATTGGCAGTATCACATTGTTAGCATCCATGGCTACTGCTAATAAGTTTACTCCAATGTATCGACCTTTTAAATGTGCTCCGTCAACTATAATAACTGGGCGCATGCAAGTAATAAACGACCGAATCTACAAAATCATATACACAAGAAATATAATCATTTAAATGTGAAATGCATGTAACTAACAAAAATGAGTCAACAAAATTATATTGATTTACTAACCGCAGCACCAATGGCGATAAACATCAACTCAAAGCGTCCATCTCTATCTGTTTTGATATGAGTTACCGACCCAGGATTTTTCAGCTTTAAATTGTGACAATAAGCCGGCAGTTGGGCAAACGATGCTTCTGGCGACCCCCTCAACAATTCCAAGGCATAACATTTGGCTCTCCAAGCTTGAGAATATGAGATACTAATCTTGAACCGAGTATTCATGTCAGTCATAATTTCATGTCCCTGATATACCCTGCCATTCAAAAACATTAACTCAGCCAGAAAACCACCAACACCTTTTTGTTTGTCTGTCTATGGTGAGGAAAAACTTGGGTTCTTGAACATGTATGTTTATCAATAAAAGTCCTAACTTCAAACATTTCGCAATCTTTTATCCTCTTTGCAATCATACGCCACGTACAGTTTTTGTCAATCATACACCTTGTTTCGAAACGATCTTTGCTTGATTTGTTAACTTTTAGTTGATAGCCATCTTCCACACATTTCGTATACAAAGCTATCTTCAAGTCTTCATTTGTATCAAAACAATCATCTTTCTTGATACGAATAATTTTTGTGTAACAATCAACTGCTATCTTTACCAACTCTTCTTCCGGTATCTGAAGTAATTATGGCATATTCCAGTTATACTCCCGTGGCATTTTCTTCAGGGACTTTTCTTTGGGGATTTCTTCTTCTTCTTTTTCTTCTTCAGGGTTATATGAATTACAGAATGGATGTTCAACATATTCATTTACAGTCGTAACTTCCTCCTCATTATCATCAACAACATCTTCCTCGACAACGACTGTTTCATCATCAAAATTCGGGTATTGACCAATATCAAAATCATTACACGCAGAGTCTGTTTCTTCTTCTGAAAAAATCATCAAAATCCAAGTATTGACCAAGATCAAAGTCCGGGTATTGACCAAGATCAAATTTCGAATACTGACTAGTGCTCACAATTTTTTCTGTTGGCTCATCATCGTCTAACTGGTCAATACGAAAACCAGAATATGGTACTGAAAGTTGATTGGGATTTGGATTAGGGAAAGGTTGTGGGTTTTGAGATTGTGTTTGGTATTGGAAATGTGGTGAAACAATATTTTCTTGGTGATGAAATTGTGATGGAACCATTAAATTTTGAGCACCATAAACTGGGGTTGAAAAACTTAGTTGATTACTACCCGCTACTGACCCAACTTCACTACTTCTAGGTTCAATAACATACAATGTAACATCATCACTTGAAACACTAATGTAAGCAATGAATCGTTCAACATCTTCATTGTCGGTTAACAAATAAACTTTACCATTTCTCTGATAAGATAGCCTAAATCCACTTAGGGGCTCTAAATTCAATTTATTTGCAACACGTAACATTAGAGTTTCATAAGTCAACTTTTTAATGACAGTTTTAGTTGAAGATTCAAGGTAAAGGCATATATTGTAAAACACCATGAACATTCTCCCATGACCCTCCAAAACACAAATCTATCCAAACATGATCAACATTAGATGATTTCATTATTGTAAATTAATTTACTAAACAAACGAGCTGCGAAACTAAAACCTGTTGTCGGATGGGGAAGGATGTCGTTGGATATAAGAACGGATGTCGCCGGAGAGAGTGATAGATGGAGATGGAATGAGTTGCGATTTAGGGATTTAGGTTATGAGTTGCTGCTGCTGCGTAGTTATATACCCAAAACATTTGTGTTGCGAAACTAAAACCTGTTGTGAATTCAGAAATCGAGTTACGAATTTGAAATTCAGTATTACGATAGTCAGAATCGCGTTGCGATAGTCAGAATCTCGTTGCGATAGTCAGATTCGCGTTGCGATTTATGTATTCGCATTGCGATTTACGTATTCGCATTGCGAATTAGGAAAATCGCAACGCGAATTTGGAAAATCGCAATGCGATAGTCAGAATCGCGTTGCGAATCTGAAAATTGATTTGCGATACCGGAGATCGCGTTGCGAATTATCGATTGCATTGCGATTTAGTTGGTCATTTTGGCAAATCCAAAAAAAGTTGGTTAAAATCGTACATTATAAGGCATTTTTGGTCACTGAGGTTATTTTCTCAATATATAATTATAAATTATGAATAATGAAATAAAAAATATAATATTAAAATATGTAATATATGTATCATTATATTTTGAGAAATATATAAACGTTTTTAATAATAGAATATATATATATATATATATATATATATATATATCTTAAAATTAAATAAAATGATATATTTAAAATGTATATTTTTTATAAGATTATATGTATTAAATGAATCAAAATTGAACCCATTTAGTGGTCTTAGTGGTTAAAGGGAGTGTATCTCTCTAAATATATTAGGTTTGAACAAATATTTGTTGTCAATGATTAAGAAATATTCTGAAGATATACTATATCATATATAATAACCTTAGATTATTAAAAAATGAATTAAAACTATTAACGTCGATACCTACTGTTACGTAGGTTACCCGAAAACTCCAACAGCCATCAACCACCAGTGACACCTAATTCGAGCCTACAAAGAAGAAAAAAGAAGAGAAACTAAAAAAAAAATCAAATGTAACAAGAGAAAAAGGGAATAAAAAAACTCTACCTTTTAGACGAAGCTTACCATCAATGATTCAAACTTTCGTTGGTGCATCCGAACGGGAAAAAGAGAATGACAACAAGGAGGGTCACACACCTAAAAGTCAATTCCATTCAACGGTTAGATCTTGAGATCGAAAAGAGTATACCTATAACTTTATTTATTTTTATTTTTTAATTTTATGAGGTTTAAGGGGAAATAGGGGTTAGAATCAAACTCTGGGCGAAAAGGTAAGCCATAAAGGTCAAATTATATTTTTCAACCACCTTTGATGACCCCAACGACGCGATTAGTATCGATCAATGATGACTAATGTCGACGAATGATGATCGTTACGACCAAAGATAGGCTGGTGGGAAGAGAAAACACACAGAAAAATAAAAAGAAAAGGGAAACTATGAGAGGAAGAAGAAAATGAGATTTTTTTATAAAGAAAATTTAGTTTTTTTATAAAGAAAATTTAGTTTTTTATACCATCTCTTAAATGAATATTTGAGGATTTGATTTCTCGTGAAACAATGTTATTTTAAATGGTAAACTACATCAAATACCATCAAACTTTAAGCGTTGACTCGTTTATACCATTAAATTTTTAATTTTATCCACTTTAACACTAATGTTTACTTTTAAGTGCAATTATACCACTCTGTCCTTAATGACTTAATGAGACGATAGCATAACAATGGCCTACCGTGATGTTGTTGACATAGTTACCTTACCAAAACGATATCATTTTGGTATGACTGGTTTGATACTCAAAAGACCCAAAACGAAGCCGTTTTACTTGAGAAAAAATATTGAAATATTGTGCTTGAGAAAATTAATTTGAACTCTAAATGTGATTCCGGGTGTCGCTGGTGCCACTTGGCGATACGCAAGACGAAGTCGTGTAACAATAGAGCCATCTTTTTCACTGTCAGATGATCCATCCCCTCAGCTTATTAAAGGTGGAGAAATAATTCAAAATCATCATTTATTCTTCTTAAATGTGAATTAGGCTACATCCTAGTTGTAGATCATATCATTTTCTATTTGTGTGTGTGTTCTTTCATCATTTAATATGTTTATTGACTGAGGTTGGGCAGATCCCACCACTTTGATCGTTTCTCTCATATAGTATAACACAAGCGGAGATGATGATCGGTAACAAAGTTGACAACGGGGTTGGCATTAGCTAGCCACGTCCCCTCTATCCATTTGACTGTTTTGGTTTCTTTCTTTCTTTTTATCCTAGCCAAATACACAATATAGAAATTATTTTCCCCGTATTCCAAGTTTTCATGGTGATTAATATAAACTATTTGATGGATTTGTTGTCACAAGTTAATTAATAAAATAAATAAAACAACAAATTTTAGTAAAACAGCATTGATATCTTTTAATAATTTTTAAAATGAAAACTTAAATTTTAATTTATAAGAATTCTCAAAATGAAAGAATAATTAATTTAAAAGATTTTAAATTAATTGTTCTTTCATTTTGACATCAATATTGCTCTATGTTTGACATCAATATTGTTCTATGTTTGACATCAATACTAATGGTCAGAAATCTCTCAACAAAGATTGAGGGAGAGAATTGAAAACATAATTAATAAAAGCGGTAAGCTAGTATCAAATAAAGTCAAGAACTAAAAGGATTGAATCGTGGAGTTCCCACTCCATGTGCTATCGTCTGTTGTTGGAACATTACTCTTGGAACAGCCACCTGTACCAACACCAACGTATCATTACTCTAATTAATGCTAATTACCGAGTTATTGATTAAGCACTCTCTTTAATCATTCAGTTGTTGCAAACTGTACCTGATGAAGGAGAACTCGATGTTCCCGAGGGAGATTCAGAAGGAGAAGCACCACCATTGCACTGGCTAGCAGGGGGAGTCTTAACGTTACAAGCAGTGGGGAGAGCCATTGCCTGAGTCTGGTTAACACTGACACTGAGTGATGAAGCACCGCCGTTAAGGACCTGGCAGAGGCACTGAGGGTTCGACCTCACGACGTTACCGAGCTGCGAGCAGCACGAAGAAGACGGTCTCGATGAGTTCCCTTGTATGTAATCCAGACAGGGAGACATGCTAATCAGCACATTGGTGCAACCCGAACTGGATTGCGCCATCGATCCTGTCCACAAACTTGCTATAAAAAGCATTGCAACTATTGCTGATCCCTTCATGGTGTAGCTGCCGTTGCTTGGACTCTTGAGCTGTTAATTAATGGTGATGAAGTGTGTTGTTTTGTGGGGAGAAGAGTGGGAGGTTTGGTTTTATAAAGGAGGGAATGTGACAAAAGGGGCAGCCGCTGTGCTTTATATTAGTTCAACTAACTTTTGCCTACTTCATTTAACAGACTCTTTAGTCAACAACTCCAACGATGGAACATGCAAAATTAATGAAATTTCAAAGATGTCGGTCCAAGGCGTGTGCTTAGAATTGAAGGAACTCCATAATTAATTAACCAGATTGTAATTGTCATTTCGAAAAACTATGTACTCTTTTATTTTGGATAGTAGAAAGTATTTTAAGAATCAAAATGTAATTATAATTTTAAGGGGTTAAATTATAATTATATATATTTATTTACAAATTTAAAAGTTTTAAAGAGATTAAAGATGATTTCCAATTTTTGGGGCAAGGAAATGTATCGTTTTACAAGATAACTTTACATACAAAAATTTATTTCTTTATGATACAACTAATAAAAAAAATATAATTTTAAGAGCAAAGTATATATATTGCACTAAAGTTGGTTCTTTTTCTTGCTTTATATCTTTTGAAGGAATTTTATTTATTAATTTACTCCTTAAAATTATAAAAAAAAATCATCATCGTTAGTTCATTATTATTCATCTTTATTAAGATTAACACGACTAAAACATACAACACAGCGTGAAAAAAGGTTTGATGAAAAAAAGCCACGTGTTAATTTTAAATTTTTAAAAAAAAATATTTTTAAAAAAAAGTGGGTTGTGAGATATTTATTGGGTTTCAACTTTCGACTTAAGTAATTGGTTTTGTGTTGGCTGCTGCATTAGGTCAAGGTGTGAGTGAGCTTTAGCTAAACAAATAATTTGAAGTAAGAAAGGCGGTTCCTCAATAATTTATGATTAAATAAGTATGACTGAAATAAAATAATACAAAAGCCCTGTGTCATTGGATATCAAGAAAACAAGTAATAAAGAATCATCGTCAACGCTGTAACAGGTAACGATTCCCTACATAAACCAACTGATCAGAATTTGTTGACGATTGCAATCGATACAAGGAAGAGAACCAAATTAAGGGAGGCTTTTTCTATGCTTGCATTGGAGGATTCTCCATCGGTCGATGGGAAAGATTTAGATCCTGTTCCTGCATATTTGTCCAAGCAATAATGTGAAAATCTGTCCCTTGATCATATATGATAATAATGTCTGAAAACTTGCCCCATGATATTCAAGATATATAATGTACCTGAAGGAATGTCCGATGCTGATGGTGTCATGGCTCCCTCGGGTGTTTCATCAGAAGAATCTGACGGTGAACCGGATGGAGACGCTGCTGGTGGAGTTCCACCTGGGAAATTTGTAATTGAAGTTACTAACAAACATAAATCCCTTGTTAAGTACGGCAAGATAGCATAGAAGAGAAGTTAATTAACTGAGCTTACCGTTACACTGGCTAACTGGTGAAGTTTGCACCTGACAAGAACCAGGGAGTTGCATGGCCAGAGTCCGGTTTATGCTAATTCCCAATGAAGCGCCGTTATTAAGCACGGAGCAAAGGCATTGAGGTGATGATTGAACGACCGTCTTCAGCTGTGAGCAGCACGTAGACGATGGGGTAGACGAATTTCCTGTAATGTAGTTGAGGCATGGGGCTAGGCTGGTGAGTGCAGAGGTGCAGCTTTGGGCGTTGGCTCCAGCCCATAGCATTGCCATCAGGACTAAGACTAGTCCAATTCCCATATCAAGACCTCTAGAAGCCATCCTGTGTCCGCCTACAATGTTCAGGAACTAAAGAACGATAGGCCTTGAGCGTAAGAATCAGGGAACTTTGTTAAATTACTTGATTGGATTTGCAGATTTGGGGTTTGAGTGAGGAGGAGAATGAAGCCACTGGATTTATATAGGGAAGACATGGAGGAAAGTCACAAATAAACTGGTATATTTGGATGAACAACTCTTACTAAGTTGTTCAATAACTAAACAGCTTCTTAATTTGCTTTAAAATATAATAGATATAAACATAAACTAGTATACTTACATTTTGCTCAAGGTTTTCTTTAAGTGGGGAAATTAGTTGTAGTAGTTGAGATCATGAAAACCGATAGTTACAACTAACTTGCCAAACTATGATATCGTCATATCATTAAAAGATAATTACTTTGTGAGGAAATTAGTTGTAGTAGTTGAACTCCAGAACTGCCTGATTTGTCCATTCTCAAACTATAAAATCTTTCCATTTTCATGGCCTACTTGACTCAACAGTAACTTTTACACTCATTTTAGCCATGGAAGGTGTCAAGGTTTTACAAATCCTAGAAATATTATCAACACTTTCAACCGTTTCAGTTAGAGGACAAATTGCTACAGCCTGCTCTGCGTCGATGATCTCCAGTTTCACCCCATGCCCGAATTTCATCACCGGAAGTAGTAGCAACGGCTTGTCGCCAACTCAATACTGTTGCGGTTCATTGAAGTCACTCGTCAGCAAAAGCATGGATTGTGCTTGTCTTTTAAGTGCTGCAAATGTACCTTTCAGTTGCTCGTAAACAAAACCCTGGCAATTGGTCTCCCCCGAGCTTGTAACATGGCTGGCGTACCTGTGCAGTGCGAAGGTGCACCTTCAAGTTTATTAATTAATCTGACTCATCTAAGATCCTTCTATTTAGTATGTCTAATCAGTCTAATAACCAATTTAATGTGTTTTGCAGCTTCTGGTACTCCTCTACCAGCTCCAGGTCCTGTTCCTTTTCTGCATACGCCAACTCTTCCACCTACAGCAGCGTCTCCTTCAAGTCCAGAATCTGACCTGACACCTGCTGCGCCACCTATAGAAGAACCAGAAGCACCTTCAGCCACTGTAAATCCTAGGATTAGACCGGTATTACAACCGTCCGCGGCAGCACCTAATCCGTATCACATTATCCTCCGACGATACTTGTAACGGTGATCGGAATCACAATTTTCAAACTTCTATTGAAGTCCAAACTGTACCTTTTGAACCACAGATAAAAGAAGTGAATTCATTTGATCATATGCATGAACACAATCAAATTTTACTACTAAATTTGACAAACCCTCTAATATTCACCACTAAAGTTCCTCATCGTAGGGATCACAGCGTGAAACAACGTGTCCTGTGCGAGGATTGTAGTGGCAGTAACAATGTGTGTGAGTCCGGTGGGGCAGAGGAGGGAGAAGGGAGGTTCAAGTCATGTACCGAGGAGTGCGGGGATGAATGCATGAAGGATGGGGAAAGCGAAACCATTTGTAACATCAAGTGCCATACTAAGTGCGGGGCTAAGGCGGTTGGAGACGCCTTCAAAATTTATATTTTACAAGATATGTCACCTATTAATTCTTTTTACAATGTAATAAGTCATTCTTAGTAGATATGATAAGTTATATTAAGATGAATTTATATTTAATTTATTATTCATACATAAATTTATATCGACAATAAACTACAGGTTAACATTTCTTTAACAATTTTAAAATAAAAACTATTATAAGATAACTCTTAAATACTTTTTTAATAAGTAACATAACATAGTTCAGGGTTAGTGTATAGTTTATATTAAATATAAGTCGTCCTACTTTATTTGTTTCAAGTCATTTTTAATAAATTTTTTAACATAAAAGATGTATATGTTAATTTAATTTTTAATGATTATTAACTTTTAAAGTATGTGCCTTTTCACATAATTTGATGAATATTACATTATTTATTTATTTTAAAAAAACTTTTTTATAAGCCCAATGCTAAAACCAAATGGATCCCAATTCTCATCCGGTTTGTCAAATCGGGGGAGATTGGAGACCCAATAATCCATTAGGGTATAAGCAAGAACCCTAAAACCTGAGAAGGAGCACGATCCAGATCATCCAAATCATTGGCAAAAGGTTGGCGCTTTAGCTCCAAGGTTCTTTCCGCGGTTCCCGCCTTTCATTTCTTTTCTTTTTGGTTCTGAATTTCTGAAGCTTTTGTTTAAAGACTAAAATGGGTTGGAAAGCAGCTGAGAAGCTCATCAGGCACTGGAAAATTCTCAGGGGTGACAATGTAAGGCATCTAAAATCCCATTTTTATTTCGCATTGAAGTTAATCGAAATCAATTATATGTTTTCCTTGTAATCCAATTACAGGTGATGATAATCAGGGGCAAAGATAAAGGTGAATCTGGCACCATCAAACGCGTTATTCGCTCTCAGAATCGTGTTATTGTCGAAGGGAAAAATCTGGTTAGACTCTTCAAAGTTTAAAACAAGGGTTTTGTAAAGTTACTCGGAGGGGTTGTTCTACATTTCCGTTTTTCTATTTTATAGGTGAAAAAGCACATTAAGCAAGGACAAGGTCATGAAGGTGGTATATTTACTGTTGAAGCTCCACTCCATGCATCAAATGTTCAAGTTCTTGACCCTATTACTGGGTATTTGATTTAATTCTGATTGTGTATTTTGAAAGATACTTGCTGTTTTTGTTATCTTATTTTCTTTTAGCAAATTAATGGTGTTGGTGATGGATTATTATTGATGTAGGCGGCCTTGTAAGGTTGGAGTTAAATATCTTGAAGATGGAACTAAGGTGAGAGTTTCTAGAGGTGTAGGAGCATCCGGTTCTATAATTCCTCGCCCTGAGATCTTGAAGATAAGGACAACACCAAGACCTACAGTTGGTAGTTTTCTTGTGGTTATTGTTCTTATTCCGCACTTAATCCTTTTCCCTTTCCTCCAATCGTATGCTGCACATCGGACTAGCTTTGAGTGAAAAAGAGCTCTTTTAATTAAAGAACTTGTTGACTTGCTTGGGGTATTTTTCTGGGATTTGAATTTACCGTCCTTTCAAGGAAAATAGGTGCATAACATTGTCTTGCTAATGTAAGTGGTAACATACCAAAAAATTAAAAGTCGGCGTGTTGCCTAGAAGATGGTGAGGATAATTTGCTTCAAAGGTGGCACTGCTAAATGCTAACTTAGACAACTACCTATGCAAGTTTAGACTTTGAAAACTGGTCAAAACTCAAGTAAAACAGAACGTAGATAGAAGTTAGAGAGGTAATAAATTAGGAATTGCAATGAATAGACACTTGAAAACATTAGAGTGTAGGCAGTGAGTTTTTAGAGCATTCCTATACATGCATACTTGGTTATCTTGTATCTTTTGCAATTAGATTGTTTACTCAGGAGAGCCAGACTTGCCATTCGTAATACTCATTACTGTTATAACCGTTTACTCATCACCATTTTTTTTATAGTTTTTCCAGCAAATTATGTTTTTTTTTTTGGGAGGAGAACTTGTTGAATTGCTTGGGGTATTTTTGTGGGATTTGAGTTTACCGTCATTTCAAGGAAAATAGGTGCATAGCATTGTCTTGCTAATGTATGTGGTAACATACTAACATATCTAAACGACCAGAAGTGTTGAAAATAATATTCTCTGTTTTTCTTTTGTTGGCTCATAATTGCCGGATGTTTGTCATGGTATCGAGTTCATTTGTGGCGTTAAGTCTGGTTTTTGGTATCTGTACAATGTTCACGGTGCTATTCTTTTATGATAATTAACAAAGTACTTCTTCTCGTAAGCATGTGACAATGTAGCTTTCGGTTCTAATTCACCTTATAGATTGTATGTACTAAGCGGGTTATCGTGCGATAACGAAGAGTCACAAATTTGTTACATGAAACATTTTGACATTGCCCACGTTTGTGTGCTCATTTTGGTTATCATGTTTTGCAGCCGGTCCCAAGGATACTCCAATGGATCTCGTGTTGGAGAAGACATACGATCCTAAGAGTGGGAAGGGCATGCCTGATCTTTAGACATATTTCGATCATGTGGCTGGCATCAAGCATATTGAGCGAAGAGGCAATCAAAATAGGGGCCGGTAGGTCAGCAGCATTTACCTACCATCAATAGTTTTGTTGCCAAAGTAAATCTTGTAGTGTATTTAAAAGCCCAAGGTTTAACATTTTCATTGTGACTGAATAACGCATCTGTTCGCGGACCAAGTACAGATATTTCAGAATTAGATTGTTGTCGATTGGCCCTGTCTTTAGATCATCCAAACATATTTTTTTTCTCGTTTATGATTGGTATAACATTTTCAGTTATTATTATTTATTTTTAAAAAATATAATTACAATTAATATAATATCCTATTGCTGATAATAAAATTCTATCATAATTGAAATATATTTTAGAGTTGAACCAAAGTAAATCTGAATGAAACTGTTATAATGAAATTTGAACTAAATTTGTAATGAACAAGTAAATATATATTCTTTCACTACAATTTGATACATTCTTTCAGATTCCGTTGTTTTTAGTCTTCCATATATATATATATATTCTTATTCATATAATATGTATATAAAAATAAGGTTAATGTTCTTTCACTACAATTTGATACAATTTGATGGCAAAACTTTCGAGATAATGTTATGGAAAAAATTAATTCACGAGATAAAGCACTCTCAAGATTAATTGCTCAAATAAGGTGAAATCCACAGTGTTGGCCGTAGGTCGCCATGCCTTCCGGGCGACCTACTAGGTCGCCATGCCTTCCAGGCGACCTACTAGGTCGCCATGTCTTCCCGGCGAGCTACAAGAGATTGCATGTGCCATGCACGTCCCAACACGCTGGGCATCCGAGGCCATCCGAGAGCATCCGAGGCCATCCGACCGAGGCCATCCGAACGAGCTATGCGAGGGCATCCGAGGGCAACCGAGCGAGCTATGCGGCATGTGCCATGCACGTCCCAACACGTTGGGCATACGAGGCCATCCGAGAGCATCGAGGCCATCCGACCGAGGCCATCCGAACGAGCTATGCGAGGGCATCCGAGGGCAACAGAGCGAGCTATGCGAGAGAATCCGAGGGAAGCCGAGCGAGGGTAGGTCGCCCGGAGGGCATGGCGACCTACAAAGTCGCCCGGAGGGCATGGCGACCTATGTGTTGGGACGTGCATGTACCATGCAACACGTTCATTCTCTCTGTTTGAGCAAGGGTAGGTCGCCTGGAGTGCATGGCGACCTACAAGGTCGCCCGAAGTGCATGGCGACCTACGGCCAACACTGTGAATTTCACCCTATTTGAGCAATTAATCTTGGGAGTGCATTAGCTCGTGAATTAATTTCTTTCAGAACATTATCTCGAAAGTTTTGCCTAATTGAAATATATTTTAGAGTTGAACCAAAGTAAATCTGAATGAAACTGTTATAATGAAATTTGAACTAAATTTGTAATGAACAAGTAAATATATATTCTTTCACTACAATTTGATACATTCTTTCAGATTCTGTTGTTTTTAGTCTTCCATATATATATATATTCTTATTCATATAATATGTATATACAAATATCATTAAATGAACAAGTAAAAATATATAAACAAATATTATAATATTCATCTAAAATTAGTAAAATAAAATTTAGAACACCAGGTGAACAAGAAGTGTGACCTATTATGGGTCAGTCGGATGATGACTTGTGTTTAGTATTTAGAATGTATCCATAAAACCGAATATCCACTTCCACACTAAAACAAGAGCTAGTACCAAATGTTTCTACAAAATAGAAGTTGAGTTTTGAACTTTTACACTAAACCACCGAACAAAACCATATCTAATGTATTCAAGTATCCAGAAACTAAGATTCGGGCCAAAACCATTGGTTTGAGATTTCAAATGTCAGCTGCAAGAAAGTTCCCTGACAGAGATACCTGGATGGAGAAATCATTCCAGTCATACTTGTTCTACAATTTATCCATTTGGTGTGCCAACATTTCATTAGAAGAAAAATGTTATAGTGTGCATACAGCATACATGTGTGTGTAAGAGAAACCATACCTTCTCGCCCAGCTTGAATGGTGGAAGGCCCTTATATGGGCATGTACTGCAGCGGAATGCATCACCTAGTCCACACTGTTATTTCAAAGCATAAGGAGTAAAGGAAGTATTAGTCTACACTCCAAAGTTCCAGAGCATAACAGAAAAAAAAAGTATGAACTGTGACTTGTTTTTGATGCCTTGCGTTTTATTTTTTTTCCCATTGAAATTGATCGAAAGAAAAATTTTAAAACCAAATAATCAAAACTGCAAAAGCATCAATTAGACAGAGTCTCAGTCAATGACTGCATAGTAATCATCATAAATTTATCACAATTGTAAATTCAATTTAAATCAGTGAAACCAAATAAGAGGGAGGACTATAGAACAAGATATACATTTCCACAAGCTGATTGAGGATTGTTTAACTGATCCGCCGTCAGGTCTAGCTTCTGCACTTTCTCCTCTTGTTCTGCCCTTCCACATGTACAATTCTTGCAAGCTTTCCTTGTGCTTCCAACTTCACAGTCACCAACTAAAGAAAATAGTACTTTTAAGTAATGTAAAATAATATTCCTAAATTTTCAGCCTAAAGAATTGAAACCCAAAAATTATTGGTCTTGTTGTGTCTTGCCATCTTACCAGTAGGTAATTGGGGCTTCTTCAAGTCCTCTTCAGTTAAGAGGGAATCTTCATCAATGAGATCAGAGTCATCATCCATCTGAATTTTCATAGGATTTTTTGCGGACTTTTTAATAGCAAAAGAAGATCCGATCTTCCAAGATGGCTTCTTAGCCTTAATCTAAAAGAGCCAATGTTCCCAATAATTAGCTTCATTAAAAACACCCAATAGCAACATAACGCTGAACTTGAAATGAATGACACAGTTAAGATAGCAAGACAAGAGCTAAATCAGCATTCCTCCATCACACAGAAATGAGAAAGCAAAATAAAAACAATGACTAAATTAGAATTGATAAACCTACAAATAAACTAACATCAGAGGTCAGAGAAGAAGGATATATAAATATCTCAGAAACCTAGTTCAAAAAACCAGGGAATACATGCTACATGTACCTACCAGAAGGATTAAACCTTAAACGGTGAAACAAATACGCACTCACCCCAACAATCTGAGCAAGTTGAAAATGTTCCGCATCTAAAAATCCGGCCAATAATAATTTGCGCTCAACAGCAGACAATACCTGCAAGTAACACTAGTAAGTTGCGTTGACTGCAACTCCATCAAAGTCACAAAGCCACAAAGCCACAAAACTGTTACCGTCTCTACTTCTTTTGTCTCAGACTCAAAAGTCTGATAAACCACCAGCTTCCCACCAGGTGTCAAAACTCTAAAGATTTCAGAATACAACTCATCAAAAGGAACTTCAATTGATCTAGAGGTCAAAATGGCCATGTCTACATAGGATGATTCTAATGGCAGACGAGCTGAAATAACCAGAGAGACAAAAACACAAGTAATGAAGTTATCAGAAATAAAGCCATCAAATAGAACGCCAAAAGGCTATATAGAAGAAGAAAAATAGCATGGCATGAGAATGTTGAAACTACAGTAAAGAGGAATGGAATATAATTGTTGCTTTTACTAAATAATTTTGCTTCAAGGAAAATTAAGACGTTTTCTATACATCAAATATCAAATCCTAACTTTCTTTCTTTTTAATATAGGGAAAACTATAACCAAGCATATTCATTTTTGCTAGTGCACCCTCGAGATTCTCTAACTAAAAGACGTAAGTGCATTTATAATTGAAGTGTATTTTAGCCTAAAAGAGACATAAATTTTAAAAATAAACTAGAAAAATAAAAGGAGTAAAATTAAAGTACCTAAACAAGAAGATTGAATGACAATTAGAGGGTCGAAGCGTTTGGGGTCTTCGTTCTCAGAACTCCAAATCGCACCTAGCGTATTATGGGTATAACTTGCATCATCTGTGACCACCACTGTGGAGCTCCGCTTAGATCTTAAATCCTATGAAGGAGAAGAGAGCACAAAATTAATTAGGAAATTTTGCAGCAAACAGAGCCATCAAATCCGTTACGTAATTCTCAAAAGTTTAAGCTTGAAAATGAAAAAAAAATAAAAAATTTTCAGTCTCCGAGAGATATATATATGACGAGAGACCAACCGACGAAAGATCGCAGTTACAGAAAAGAAGATATTGACATAGATAAAATGATGCTCACCATGCAGATCAGGGTTCAAATCGTACCAAAAAATCCCTAACGAATTGAAAAAAAAAGAGGGGGTGAAATTTGAGCTTAATGTTCTGGAAAGAGCGATTTCACACTGGTTTTACAATACCCATGGTTTTTAGAGCCGGACCGATTAGCGAACCGATAATACTATCGGTTTATTAATTCAACCGATTGAATCGATTCGATCGGTCGAAAGAACCGAACGATATCATAATTATTTAAAAAATTAAATAAAAATATCAAAAATTTGTAATAAAAATAATTTTTTATATCACAAGTCATATTCAAAGCAAGTCATAAATAGGGATGACAAGCGGATACAATTTCGTGGATTCCGCACCGTGCCCGCTCCAATTGGGGCGGTGATGGGTATAATTTTAGTGGTTAGTGGGCGGGTTTGGATTTAGAAAGTGGTACCCGACGCGGGTAGTGGGCGGGTAATGGGTTTGAGACCTTACCCGCCCCGCATCCGCACCGCATCCACCCGCCCCGCATCCACCCGCCCTGCATCCGCCCGCCCCGCATCCTCCCGCCCCACATCCGCCCGCCCAACTAAATATCCATTAAATTTTGGACTATTATGAATTTAGGTATAATTTTAAGAGCTAATTTATAAATCCTAATATTGTATAAGATATAACTTGTAATTTAACCAAATATTAGAGATAAATTTATGCATAAATTTTTTTCTTTCAAACCTCTTGTCTTCACTCTCAAGCTTATTCAGGTATGTTTATTCCATTTTTACTTGAAATTTAATTTTTGTAAGAGTTAATTTCGTAGTCATTTCGTTTTAAGCTCCTCTGCATTT